ATATAAAAATATATGTAAGGATTTTTTAAAAGCTCTCTATATATATGCATGTATGTTTGTGTGTATATATATATATACACATAGCCCCCCATGTTTAGCCAGGGGTAATTCCAACTTTAAGTCCTAATACTGGTTTGGACAGACAGCTGGAAGGCCCACAGGCAGCACAAGACTCTTTGCACAGTTGTTTCATTCCCTTGTTCATTTTGTCACCTGGTAAATGGCATCTGGCAGATGCAGTTTGGGCGAGTGTCAGCGAAGAACAAGGTATTGCCCTTTGCCTTTGCAGCAAGACTGGCCTCCTGGCTGAGGGTCCATCATGTTTCTGACTTCTTGTCGTGCACTGAATGGCATCCTTGTTGAAAACTGATTTATTACAGCGAACCAGTCATTTTTAGCTGAAGGGCATGGGTAGAACAGACCTGAATTAGCAGCTGAACCTACTGCCTCCATCTCCAGGAGAGGACAGTTACCCTGGAAGGCACAGAAGATGCTTGGGGGTAGTCAAGGAAACAAAGACCCTGCCTTCCCTTGTACCAGATAAATGCTTACCAGATTTATTTATTCTTTAATTACTTCAGTGCTCATGTGGCTGAAGGAATCCAGAACAGTATTGGAGCCACATGCTGCTTTTCATCCCATCCCCTAATCCCTGCTGTAGGAACAGGCATCTCTGATGTTGAGGTTTCTGTCCTTCACTCCTGGGCTAGTGGGAGGTGTCCATGCCCATGGCAGGGGGGTGGAACTCAGTGGTCTCTAAGGTCCCTTCCGACCCAAACCCCTCTGCGAGGCAGTGATGTAGTACATGACGTATGGGAGCTGTGAATTTGGGCATAAACGATAAAGACCTTGAATTGGGGCAGACCTTGCAAGAGGAGAGGGAAGCACAGGCAGCCTGAGCTGCTTCTGCAGCTGAAGCACCATGGTGGGGTCTGGCGGCGTGGCAGCACGTGTGCCCCTCTTGGCTCTTGCAGGAAGTGAGCTACTGCCAAGGGATGAGCCAGATCGCAGCCATCCTCCTGATGTACCTAAACGAAGAGGATGCGTTTTGGGCGCTGGCGCAGCTGCTGACCAACCAGCGGCATGCCATGCACGGTAAGGCTGGGGCAGGATGCGCGGGGTCTCTTGCGGTGGCAGGGAAGGCTCTTTAGGTTGGTCGCTAGAGCCTCGTTTCTCCTCACGTACTTGTTGAAAGGCGGTAAGGCTTAATGATGTGCCGACCCAACCCAACTACAGAGCTGAACTTTGCTCTTGGAGGTGGACAAGTCCATCAGAGAGAAATGTGGTTTATTGGCACTGAGCTTTAGCGCTCAGTAATTAACAGTTTCACAGAGGTGCTGCCTTAGAGTGCCTTGCCCGTGGCTGTCAATTAACTCAAGGTTATGAGTTTCTAAGAAATCTCAAAGAAGTACTTCCAAGAGCATCGTGTGATGCTCCGTTTTTAGTGTGCCACGAGCTACGTGCCCTTGTGTTTTTATGAAGATGTAATTCCACCAAATGTGCTGTATTATTTACCTTAGAAGGTAATATTAAAGATCCTTTCATCTCACTCGTGGTTAGCGGTAATCTGTGAGTGGAGGGCTAAGCCTTATGGCTTGATAATTGCGGACGGTCTGAAGAGCATGTCCTGCTAGATTACGGGGGGCTGCACGAGCTTGTGGTGTTCAAACATCTTCAGCTTTTCTCTGAACCTTGGTAAGCACCAAGATGTGTTCAGAGGGGTCCTGGCCCAGCCAGGTCTCGGGCAGACCCGCAGCGGGAGGGGAGCGGGGCTGCTGGGTGGGGCAGGGGTGTGACGGACCAGCGGGGCTGGTGCTGAGGGTGCTGGGTGAGGGGCAGGCCCTGAGAGGGGTTCCCAGGGAGGGAGCTGGGTGTGCTGGGATCCAGCTGACTTCAATATGCAAGACAGGGGATGAGTTTCTAGAAAATCAGGCTGCTCCCATGTCTGCTCCAGAGCTTTTCTGATTCTTTTTTATTTCTCTCATCTTTTCTCATTAAGGTTTCTTTATTCCTGGGTTCCCGAAGCTGCAGAGATTTCAAGCTCACCACGAGCAGATTTTAAGCAAACTGTTTCCCAAACTGAAGAAGCACATGGTATCTTTGCTCTCACTCTCCCCATGCTCATATTGCGTTTTAACGCTCAGGCGGTTAGTGTAACGTTCTGCCCAACACACGCACAACTGAACGTACTTCCCACTGTGTAGGACGGCTTCAGCCACAAAGAGGCAAGCGTTTATTAAACGACGTGCCTGAATCTTGCTGAGGCGAATGGTTATCATTTGCTTGCTGCTCATCATTAGTGCAGGGACTGCTAACATCTAAAGGCTTCCTTAGGAAAGCCAGGCGGGGAGGCTGACGGAGCCCGCAGCAAGGGAGCTGTTGCGTGCAGCAGCGAGGCTGGGGGATGCTGGGCTGTCTGGAGTCTTAATAATTATTAGCTCCAAGTGCTTGCGTTCAAGGGTTTTGCTGTTGGTTAAAGATAGGAGTCACATAAGATCTGCTGTGTATTTTGTTGCCTGGGCACGTCCAGTTTTTCTCCCCAGCAGATGGTCCAAGCCCGTTTGGTGGCTGGAGGTGCATCTGCAGGACACATTCGCTGCAGTCTAGAGTCTAGGAGACTCTTTTCCAACACCTGCTGCCTTTTTTTTTTCCCCTCTTGTCCCACCTTGCATTTGCTGTAGACAGTTGGTATTCAGTGGCCAGGCTCCGGAAGGTTTCTGATGCTCCCAAGGGGCTCGGTGGCCTGGCTCCAGGAAAGGCTTTTTATATTGCTGTCATCTGCAACAGCTCTGGCTGCAAACGAGCCAGCCCTGGCAGAGAGGTGTCACAGAGCCAGGACAGGTTTGCACTTCATTAGAGTCCCAGGGGTGGGGAAGCCTGGGCAGGGAGGATGCGAGTAACTCGCTGAAAGCTGCTTGTGTCTCTGTCTCCCAAAGGCTCCCCAGGCTTGCAGGGGACCAGCACCAGCTGGAAGCAGAGACCAGAGCTGGTGGCTTCTTCCTCTCCCCATCCCTGCCACTGTGCTGGCTTTGCAACAGCGGTCACATCGACTTGGGTTCTGGAAGCTGCAGAGGTTTCAGGCTCCCCAGGAGCAGATTTGAAGCACATGCAGGGCACAGCCGTGCCACGCCGTCAGCTGTGCCAGAAAAAAGCAAAGCTGTGTGCATGCTGTGCCAGGCACCAGGCAGGGGTGGAGATGTGCTAGACTGGGGGGATGCTGGTGAGGTTTTTCAGAGTTTTCCTTAGCCTGTCAGGCTGTCCTGCTCCTGCAGTAGTCACGCCAGCCCAGTGAGGTAGTGCTAGCAAAGCTAGCTCAGCCGTGCAGGTCTGGATTCAACCGTGGGATACCTGGGGTTCATTGTTTTTGTGGTGCTCTGAGGAGCTCGAGTGGGAATTGCTGCGGGAACAAAAACGGTATTCTGCAAGGAGGGCATGGTTTGGGTTCCTGGGAGGTTTTTTTCCAAAGGTGTGGCTGAAGTCTGGCCACGCTGAGGATGAGGTTAAATGAATATCTTGGGCAAAGGGCCAAAGCAGGGCTTCACCACTGGTATTTACAGCAGGGGTTTTGCTGGGAGACAGACCACAGACAGATCCTGCACCCAGACCCCAGCCTCAATAACCCACCCAGCCTTCCCAAGAGCCCTGTGAGTCGGCTGAGCCCCCAGCAGCCAGCCTGGTGAATCGCCTGTCTCACTTTGCTGTCTCCTCCTAGGACAAGGAGCAGATGACTACGGGGATTTACACCACCAAGTGGTTCCTGCAGTGTTTCATTGACCGGGTGAGGATGCTCTGCAGGGTTTTTTTTTGCTGCTTGTGTGCGTGATTAATCTGCCTGGTTTCTTGAAAAAGTACGATAATTTGAAGAAGGTGTTAATATTTTATAAGGTGGGATGTTATGCACACTCTCATAAGGCAAAAAAATTAAAAATAATGGCACGTCACTGTTGAGAAGCCAGTTGCTGCTGCCTTGCTGGGAGGTGGCTCAGCAGCAGCAGTATGAGCTTCAAAGTCGGGAGAGATCTTCTCTTGCCCACCGGCACTGCTGTGAAGGCTGTTAACCTCCCTTGGGCTCTGGAAACAACGTGGGGAGAAGAGCTGGAGGCACAAACCTGAACAAATAGCAGCTGCAGGCAGGGGAGCGGGCTGGGCCCTGGAGACCCAGGAAAGTGGGAGAGAGTTACCTGGATTTGTCCAGAGCTAATTTGCCAGTCCCCAGCCAAGGCAGCGTTGTTTTACAGGGCAGCGTTGAGCTTGCACACTTAAATGCAAGATCTTGTCTCAATTTCCTGCAGCCCTGTCTCCTGTAAAGCAGCAGATCACCTCTTCCCTGTGAGAGGGACCTCGCTGCTTTGCGCTCTGTTGCTGAAAGCGGTATAAAACACAGAAACCCTTTAACTACAGTAACGTGGTGAAAGAGCTGCAACGGCCGGTCGTGCAAATTCTGGAGAGTAAGCACAGCATCCTAAATTTGAACTTAAACGTCACAGTAGGACCAGTGTTAATTTCTGTGTTGGTGAGATGCCTTCAGTGTTAGCGGGGAGATGGTGGGCTGCTCCATCCCTCTGGGTGTCAGTTCACTCCTGTTTGTCACATCAGCTCCGCTTACAAATGAAAACCTGTTGCAGAGGTTTTTCTCGCAGGCGCACACATAAGCCTGTGTGGAAGGAAGACCACTGCCCTGGACACCAGAGGAGTGATTTTTTTAATGCTATTGAAGCACCATTGGGCCTTCATACCTATCCCATAAACAGCCTTTCATCTGTCTGGGCAATTTGGATGGATACAGGAGGGGTGGTGTTGTGCACCTGAAGGCTGAAAGGCGGTGATGCTCCCTCCAGAGCGGGGGAATCCCTGTGCTAGAGTGTCTGTGCGGAAAGTTTCTTGTTTCCTGCATTCACAGCCGGGCTTTAAATACTTCCCAGCCACCCAAGGGTGTTAGCTTTGAGGTGATAGATGAGAAAACAGGGTTTTGTGTTATAGATGAGTCCTGGGCATCCAGTGTCGTGCCCTGCTGTGCGTTTTGGGGCGAGGGGACGCAGTGATGCCACCAACCTCTGTGTCATCATCCCATCAATAAGCGCTAACGAACTGGTTTTTGTTTGTGTGTTGGAAACAGACGCCCTTCACCCTCACCTTGCGGCTGTGGGATATCTACATCCTGGAGGGAGAGCGGGTGTTGACAGCCATGGCTTACACCATCCTCAAACTGCACAAAAGTAAGGTCCCAGCAGAGCGTGTCCTGTATGGGTGGCATCGCACTGGGCCACCCTCGTGCTGCGCCCCCGGGAAGCCTTGCTGGCCACCGCCAGCCTGCTGGGTGCCCTGCGCGGCCCCAGAGGCACCGTCCTGTGCTGGTGCTTCAGGGAGGAAATGGGATGCCGCAATGGGATCCTGCGCTCAGCTCCCAGCAGATTCCCCCCTGAAACGCTCCCAGCTGCCTCTCCCTGCGGGCTGTGCCCCGTGTTTTTATCAGTACGCTTCTAGGGGTGTATGCACAGCAACCCGTCTGTCTGCAGAGCTCTGTGTGGCAGTTCAGCTGAAGAGGCTGTAGAGCTAGAAATGGCTGTAGATTTATAAATCCATTCATATACTTCTAAAATGACCAAAGCCTGGTTTTCTTATGTAACATTAAGGCAGTGATGTTTCTGCCTCGAGATGTTTGGGACTTTGAACCCCTCCTCTTCCATAAGCCAGCAGCCTTGCTTTGTCACCCTGTGAGGTCTTTAGTAGGGGACAGGAGCGATGCCGCTATTGCATGCTGGGAGCCTTTGGACCAGTGGGATTTATGGGACTGTGTGTGTTGGCTCCTGCAAACAGCCACCCTGCTCTTGTTTCAGTTGAATGAAGAACAGGCTACCCAGAAATACATCTTCAAGTATCCCGTTTGTTTGCAAAGACCGGGAAACTGGCAGGCAGGCAGAAGTTTCAGCCTGGCTATGAAATTGTCTCTCCTCCCTGAGGAATGTGCGGTGCAGACTGGCATCCCTGCCTGCATCCCTGGCGTGGCTGCTGCCTGCATCCCATCCTTGCATCCCTGGCGTGGGTCAGCATCCCTGCCTGCATCCCTGCTGGCTGGCACAGGGTGGCATCCCTGGCTGGTGGCAGCGGCTGTTCAGTCTGACGCTCGGGGTCTTTCTCATGGAGCTTTTCCTCCTCCTAGAGGTATTGGTGAGAACTTCCAGAAATGGCCCAAAATGTGCATCCTGGTCAGCACAGGTCCCAGCCCCACCACTGTCCTGCCATTGCTGGGCTGCTGCCCAGAGGTGGCACAGATAGGTAAATGAATTGACAACACTAAGCGACAGTGGGAAGGTGGGAGAGGCTCAAATGTTGTTCCCTGGAATGGGAACAGCAGCAGGATCCCAGATAAAGTGCCACCCATGTTCGTGCTGCCCGGCAGTTTGGCCACACTACTGCCATTACTCCTCTCCATCCCCCAGAGCGCTTGCTGAAGATGACGCTGGAAGATTTACGGGAATTTCTGCAGGACAAAATTGCCGCTTCCCTGCAGTACGAGGACGATGCCGTCATTGAGCAGCTGCAGGTGTCGATGACCGAACTGCGCAAGATGAAGTTCGACCTCCCTCCACCAGGTGGGTAGAGGGGAAGGTGGGCGGCCCGGCGGGAACAGCCAGTGGTGGCCATGTCCCCTGGGGACCAGAGCATACCTGTGGGACCAACGCATCCCTCGGGTGTGGCTGGGAGCCGTGGCAGCCCTGAAGGGCTGGAACCTGCTGGGTGCAGCATCTGCCCTCCCTGTGCTCGGGGCATGCTGGATGCAGAATGAACTGATGTACAGTTTTTGGGTTTTGTTTTCTCTGCTTCTGATGCAGCAAAGCCTGAGGAGTTCCCACGGAAACCCCTGGGCCTGGAGCTCTCTCTCAACCCAGTAGCCATGAAGGGCAACATGGCAGCCAACGGCCAGAACGGGCGGGTGGGCGAGCAACCCCCGGACAGGGAGCCCCATCCCCACAGGGATCCTGGAGCACCCAGAGGAACGCCAGCAGCAGAGGCGAGGACCCCCACCCTCCAGCGCAG